AAGTTTGAAAACGATCCATCGTTGTGACCTAAAAAAGCTGATCAAAATCCATGAAATACTTATGTGAGTCTCTCCTTATAAACTTTAAACTACTGTAAACTAAAAAATAAACTGTCTATGAGAGTTTATTTATTTTCTTAAATGAAAAATTAATTAAATTATTCTTTATCTATAGCTTCATATCCATAAACAAAATTTATTGACATAAATTTTTTAATCTAAATTTATAATATTTTAAGTGATTAAATGAGAGAAATATGTTATTCAATCGAAGGATCTTAGTGTTTAAATACATATATCTTATGTAAATTTATATGCATTCTGAATCTGCATACCGCGCGTCAAAATTTATCTTTTTCTGTCTTAAAACGCATTCATGAGAAAAATCAGAATAGCAATAAATTGCTTGTACAATCTAATAAATGATACTACTATTCTGATTCTTCTGAAAAAAGATTTCGGTGCACGGTAGAATCAGAATGTACATGAATTTACACAAGAAATATCTATAATGTATTTAAGCACTAAAAACCACTTCGATCAAATAGATTCCTCTCATTTAATTAGATTCATTCTCATTAGTCTAAAAATTCGTATCATTTATTTATTATTTAAAATCGTGCTGCATTTTAATTAACGTTATATTTTAACTCAATTCTTCATGTTTTTCCATTTAATTTACATCATAGATCACTTGATATTTAATACATGTTATAGCCTACAATGAAGTGTTACACAGAAGAAATATTCGGACCCGTTTTATCGTGCATGTTTGCTGACACTACCGATGAGGCTATCGACATCATCAATAAAAATCCTTATGGCAATGGCACGGCAGTTTTCACGACAAATGGAGCGACAGCCAGGGCATTCGTGAACAGAATCGAAGTCGGCCAAGTTGGCATTAACGTTCCCATACCCGTCCCCTTACCGATGTTCAGTTTCACTGGCAATAAAGGTTCCTTTCTCGGCGATATGAACTTTTATGGAAAATACGTGAGTACATGTAACTTTGCGTACTTTTATTTGATGAATCAATCCATTTATCAAACTATATCATACTTGTAACTCTTTGCAATAACTTTTTTTATTATAATTATAGTTATTTAAATTAATTAAAACAAATAAAAAATAATAAAAAATAGCTAACACAATGTGTACAAATAAAAATATATCTTATTCTTGCAAAATTAAAATTTGTTTAATAAATCATTTTTTGCATTTGCACTATGTTATAATATGATTGTAAATAAATAGAGTTCTTTTGAACAAATAATTAAGATGTATAATATAATAATATGGTAATGCGTGTTTTTTTATTAATCTCATTTTAGGGGGTAAATTTCCATACGCAAACGAAGACAATAACACAGCTATGGAGATCAAGTGATGCTACCGATATCGCATCGTCGACGGCAATGCCAACTATGCAATGAGGCTGTGATTTACCAAAACTATACGATATACCAAAACTTCACTATGTTCCAAAATTTCATGAGTAAGGATATATAAAACTTAATTCTGCGATTTGTAATGCAGTTATAAACAATGTCTTCCATTGTTGTGTACAAATTTGTTCCTATAAATAATCATATTTTTATGGCCTAGGCCTAAATAAACTACATATATTTTTTTATATCACAATAAAGTGTAGTTCATATATCAATCTTTTATTTATACCTTAAAATAAAATAAAAATTTGATTGCATTAATTATAAGACGTTATATATAGTAGAAAATTTAATAAACAATTTTTGCAGCTATATCTGTATAATGTATTCAAATATATTATATTCTCATTATTATTTTAAAAACTTTATTTAAAAGATAATAAAATTGTTTCCTTATAAAATAATAATATCCAAAACGATTATCAAAAATTCTAAAGTATAATTATAAAAAAATTCATTTGCTAATGAACATTTAATAAGAAATAAATATTATTTATGCAGTAAGCCTTAATGAATCCTAAATTTTTAATTCTTTTTAAGCAATGCACTAATTTAATTATGCTAAATTCGTATAATAGGAAACAATAAATGCGCAATTTTTTTCCTATCGATTAACTCCCTCTTAGTGATCGCGCATGGATGACGCCGGACGAAAAATATGCCTAAAATTCAATGATATAAACACCGAAAGAAGTTCACGGTCAACACTGTCTGATTTGTCCTTGAATCTTTAGTTTCATAAACGCGTGCAAAAATCCGTCTCTCAGCGATATTCGAACCAACTTCCGGCAGTCAGGAGCGATGTACGCGCCGACGCGTGCACCCCGTCATCGTCGTCGGGTTGCATCTGCGCATTTTCCAGCTGAGTTTCCCTCACAGGCGAGGTTCTGCCTGTCCCGGATTGTCGTGTATGCACCGACACTCCAGATCGGTTGGGAAATCAAGAGAAAACCCTCTGGCTACCGTTCACATATCGTGAGTAGTCGATACATCTGTGGTCGCAATTCTGGCGTAGCCTTCCTCCTCTGTTTTCGCTTCTCTCGCGAGGATCAGCTTTATTCGACAGAGAGACAGACGTGTCGAAAATAATTTATCCGTCTTCCACGAAAGGCTATTGATATTTTATCGAAATTGTCCACGCAGTTAAATATTCGGTGTGCAGTGACGTTAAGAATTGTTAATCACTCGAAAATTGAGCGTTGACCGATTTCTTTCGCTCAATAATCTTTCGGTTATTTTTTAAAGTCATCGTCGGCGTCGGCACCGGTTAGCTAAATGTAATTGACCGTTTTAGATCTAATTTCCGACGTGTCGTGTTTATTCATCAGAACAATGTGCTTCATCGTGACATTAATAGCGTATCGTGACTGCAAGTGTGCTTATCTCCATGATCGTTATATGATAAAATAGAATTTAAATATGTTTTACAGGATCAAATGGTATTACAAGATCTTTATTAGCAATAATATTAAGTTTTATATTTAAATTTATCTTCGCATGAATTATTATTATTTATATTATTATCTTAACATAATTTTTTTAAATATTGGTAGACAATTTTTTCTAAAACAATTATTTTACAAATATTTGCAAGAGAGAAATGCTTAATCAGTATACAGTGATGCTCATACATTTTTTTATTGCAGATTTATTTTCGATCGTACATGTTAAGCACTCGTTAAATCAGAGATATTAATATCGTAAATATTTCAGTTTTAATCTCGCATCTTCAAACTTGTTGATATGCTTTGAACAATGCAGCATTTAAAATATTTATTGTCAAATACATATTGTGAGCTAATTCAAATGCTTTTCATTTTCACTGTGCTTTGTATTTTAATTAAACATTGTTTATAATTGAAGTTCATAAACGACCTGCCGACTTTATTGCAAATTCAAGACTCACAAAACTTTTAATAGCACCTATCGCAGCAAAATGGCAATATTAATTGTTTTATAATAAAATTTTTTTAAATTATTTCTAATAGAAAAATATTTCTATTTTTTAATTCACCATTCAATTTATTCCATTCGTGCTAACTAAATTTTTGTTTATCAAAAACGGCGATAAAAATCTAAGAGATATTCGTGATAACTTTATAAAGTTCTTATAAAGTACAATAATTAAAAAAAAGAAAACGTTTACAAAGTTTTGCATAATTTTTCTGTCAAGTCTTCTCTCTTCATTTTATTCTTACATCTTTAATATAGAAGTTTGTTATGCAAGAAAATGTTCACGTAGAAAAATATCGCCTTGATTTACAACTGGTGTTAATTAAAGTTTTTAATATATTCATTACTCTTCAATGTTTGAAAAAAGTTGTAATCTCAAAACTGATTAACATTACTATTTGCAAACAGTTTTCTGAACGTTATTTAATCACTGACGACTTTGACAACTTATACACCATACAAACACGCCATTCCATCGCCTATCTTTCGCTTTACAGCACGAGATTTTTTCTGACAGTTTGGATAATTATGAAATGGAAAAGTGACGCTAGGAAAAAGGACTAAATAGCTCATTGTTAGAGCAATTTGACAAGTAAAAAGTCTGATTTCGACTCTTGGACTTACCATCATATGCAATATATGTAATATACAAAATACTAAGAATTTTTAATAAGAAAATATTCCATTCTAATACATACGAAATATGTATTTTGGAAACACTTACATAGCTAGAAAATTTATTTCTGTTTATATATGTATCTTTTTCTTTCATTATTACTTTTTCTTTAAGTTTATAAAAATCTATTTTTACATACAATATTGTATTTAAAATTGATATTTAGGCGATATTTTTCTACGTGGACATTATCTTTCATAACAAACTGCTACATTAAAGATGTAAGAATAAAATGAAGAGAGAGGATGGAAAAATTATACAAAACTTTGCAAACAATGTTTCTTTTTTTAATTACTTTATAAGAATTTAAGTTATCACGAATATCTCTTAGATTTTTATCGCAGTTTTTGGTAAACAAAAATTAGCACGTCATAACGTCATTTGAACATTTTATTCTTCTCTCTCTCGCACTTGATGCATTTATACATCTATAAAATTTGTATTTAATACTATATTTAATACTTCTATAAAACTTATAATGATATTTAGTCACAATTTAATTTATGAGTATAAGAAATCAACAAATTATACTATTGTGTTGTGTCTCGGAGAATAGAAATTTCGAATTAATAACAATAGAATTTTAATTCTAAATGCGATTCTTTCAAGTGGAGGTTAGACAAAGAGCGTTTACAACTTCTTCCTATAAAAATGTCTTTTATAATGTAACTAGTTTGGCCTAGAGTTGTGTTCTTTCATTGGAATTTTTTTGGTCGCAACTTGATTTCGTGATGATTCAATGAGGAACGAATTATTTCGCGTCACATTTTATCTCTATTCCGTGAAAGACTAATTTCTAATATTTCTTTTGCTTCATATCTAATTCTTTATTAAATAAATATCAAAATTATATCAATTGTAAAATTCTTAAATCTAAATGAGCACTAAATTGTAAGTAATATCTGCACGGACATAAACCATCATAAAAAAATAGATATGATCATGATAACTTTATTACGTCACTGAATGTTGTTTTGCATTGAGGATTGCAGAAATGAATCGATAAATTGCAATTATGTATAAATTGCATGATTATATATAAATAATTTATTGTATAATATATAACGATGTATAAATAAATAAAATCACTGTTAGTAACTTTATACAAAATTGATTTTGTATAAATATTATTTTATATTACAACATTTATTTTATAAATTGTTATCTAAGAGCCCATTAAATTTTTCGAAAAAATCATATATCGTTTAAATATAAGTAGTTTAATTTTTTTAATATTTTATTTTATGTAGTTTAAAATGTCCCATAAAATATATATTTAATTTAATTTTCGTTGTCAGGATATATTTTAATTTAAATGCTATAAATTGACGACTAATTCCACTATTGTTCCTCAATAAAACTGAATATTCCGATTATAATATAGAAACCCACGCTGTGTGAATGCTCGTGAAAATAAATACGAGAGATCGTTCGGTTGACAGAATCATATATTTCCGGCCGGCTGAGAGATCGCCGCCGTGTATTTCTAACAAGATTTTTATCCCGACAGGTTGAATAATTATGTACAAAACGGTGCGGAAAGGCGATGCCAGTCTGCAGTACACGATACTGCCGCAGACGGATCAGTTCTCGTCTGGCGGATTCCCGCAGGCTTCCAGTAAGGCTCGACCGAGGATTATCAAGTACACGATGGCCACTATAATGGTACTGATCATATTGTCTTGCGTGGCCACGCCATTCTTGATGAATCAGAATGATCACAACCTCTTCGCCAGCACAATGCGCGCGATTAGCCGGGTAGAGCCAGTCAGGAACACGTCAAGAAATCACACGAAGAACATCAGTGAGAGTAAAAACAGAAACAAGATTTCCTCAATATCGACAACCGAGGTCATAAGGAGAAAAGACCTTGAAGACGGTACGACTTCTTTCAATGTAATTCTCCGAGGTGAGGAAGAAGAGGAAGTTATGGTTGATGACGCTACTTTAGCAGGTATTGTCTTGTTTAAAAATTCTCGAGGAAGGCGATGCAGATAATGATAATATGTTACAAAAATCTTCGATATTTCAATTTTAAATAATAATAAATTTATAATTAAAGAATATGATTTATTTTTATAAAAATAAAGAAAGATGTTAAAAAGCGGCTGAGTTTGTCAAAAAAAATGTAAGTAAGAGGAATAGTATTTTTTTTTATAGATTTTGACCTCCTTATATATTATATAATAAATATTAATAAAAAATTCGGAGCCAATAGAGAATTACAAAATTGAACATGAGATTCAAATTTCAATGTTTTTTACTGAATTTTCGAAATGTTTCCTAAACGCCTCCTACGAACTTTATAATAATTTTATAATTTATCGTATTCAGGACATCAAAACCAATTCTTTTTTTAATATCTTCTTTTTTTGCTATTTTGAAATAAACTATATTTAAAGCAATATTATATATAATAAATATATATAAATATAAATAATGATAAATAAATATTTTAAATTATATTTAAAATAATATTATATTATAAAGTAATTTTTATTTGTTGTGTGTGAATTCTCTTTTTTCTTTGTTTTCTTAAATCAAGATGAATATTATGAGATCAAATATAAAATTTAATTTCCCCTTGTATCTCGAAATACCGAGATAAAACGTGTAAATGACGGGCATAAAATAAGATTCCAGCTTTACGTAAATATTGGAGCCATAATATAATTCATCGAGATGCTCTGTTATCAGTCTTCCAACTAAGCCGATGTTATTGTCGACTACGTAGGTTCAGATAATTCTCTCTTTTCAGACACACCGGAAATTAGTACACAAGTGATTTCGAGCATGGAAACGTCGACGAGGGATCATCAAATGACAACAACTTCCGCTCTACCGTCGGCATCGACGACGATCTTCTCGACATTGCCGACGACATCGAAAGTGTTCTCGAGCGGTACGACGGAAGACACAAAGACACTGAGCACGTCCAAAAAGCCAAAAATGCCGAGAGTGACCCTGAAGTTGCGAGAGAACGAAACCATACCACAAATGTATGTGAAAGCGGGCATAGCCTCCTATAAGAAGGGCAACATCGCCACCAGCGTCCTCGCGAGTGGGCTGAGTCTCGAAGGCTTGATATTCAAAACGCCGGAAGGCACGATAAAACCCTGGCCCCAGAAATGGTTCCTTGGCGAGCCCTCCGATTCCGACGTCAAGACGTGGAAAGTGTTCGTAAGTGCTCGTATTTTTCGATCGAGCGCTCATACGTTCTCGAAGAATTGCGTTCAAGGGGATCTGGAGTGTCCTGCATTTTGATGGAGTGCATCGATCACTCGAATTACCTATGCAAAAATTACTAACTCGTCATTTCCCCGCGCGTCTTGCTTTTCCTTTTTCCCAGAAATGCTTTCTAAAGTATCTTCTTATATAAACTTTTCTTCTTGCATGTTTGCTCTACAATTGTTGCATTTTTTACTAATTATTTTAATTTTATATGGGTGAAATCCTTTAAATCTTGCTAATTCAACATTTTCCTTCTATCTTACACGTATTTACATACATATAATACATATAATATCATATATAATTCTTATTCGTTTTCCATTTAAAGTAAGTGCTCTTTGAAAAGGCAGAAAAAAGAAAGAGAGAAAGAAATTTTTAATTACTCTTTCAACAATTATCTCAACATTTTTTATTTCAATCTTCATTGGGAGTTTTTTATTTTTCTATGTTTCTCTAAGTTTATCAATCCAATCTAAAAATTCATTTCGTTACTACCGTTATTATTTTAAAGTATAATTTTATAAAGTAATTTTATATCTCTGGATTAGCAAAATATATTATTTCCGTATTTAGCAATCATCTGACTGTTAATTCAAAATTTTATGTTCTGCATAAATATTGATCGCGTTGCACCAGAGACATTTAAAACTGAAGCACTCTGTCCGATCGATAGGCAGAGCGTGTTCGTGAATCTAAAAACGGACGAGAAATCGCATAGAACTTTTATTTTTCCCACATGTTTCCCATCGGGACAGCAATCGTATCTTTAACTTCTTTCTTGAAGAATTGCAGAACGTGACGTCATGTACAACATTTTCTGCTATTTTAAAAATATCTCATGATATCATATTGTTATATTTTATTTATACATATGTATATGGAAGTGTAATTCTTCTTCTATTGCTTCCATTTTTTTATCTCACACAAAAGATTTTCGCACAAATGAAGTCACGGGAGTAGAAAAAGCTGTTGTTCTTAAAACATCGACCTCGGACAATCAATATAAAAGCCGCGTGTTCTCCCTTGAGCCAATAAATGCTTACTCGTTGCTTGAGATAAGAACGCTTGCGCTGCACTTGAAGATTTTGCGCAGACTACACGTACGTTATTAGGATAAAGCAATTGCACAAAATACGTTAAGGATTTATAAAAGAGATGGAATTACAGTTTTCTTTAAAATTATACATAGTAATTTTGCAAAAAAAAAAAAGATAAAATTTTTATTTTTGCTAAGAGAATGCGTTTCACAATAAATTAATAAAAATTCGTTCATTAAAAAGAAAATAACTTCTCCATTAAAAATTCACCATCAAGAAAAATAATGTACACGATATTTTTGTCGAAATATATTTTCGTCAAATATTTTCACGTTCATTCAACAGCTCTTGCATATTTCGGACTTTTGCTTTGTTGTTATATATTTAAGCAGACTTATCGAGCTAACAGCTGCTCGCCAAGTAAAATCCTTTTGCTTTATCCAATTTTCATAAATTGTATAATACGTAGTAAGGCGCTCCATTTTACAACACGTTTCCGCGCAGAATACCTTTTACGAATGGAGTGTTTAATTTACCATGGAATTGAAAATACCAGCGTCAGGATGCACAGGGGGATTAATAGAATCTTGAGTACCTGCTAATTCATATATTTACCGGTATCCGACTTGGTTATATCGGATGTAGCGGCGTCTACCGGTTTGTATTTTGCATATTAAGCGATAACTGGGGTAACAGAGAGTAGCAACATTTTCTGATGAATATTCATTTCTCGATGGATAAGGAATAGCGTGGATTATATCGCGATGTTATACGAGCGATTGATAAAGATCGCGAAATCATAAGCCAGCTTCTTTATTTAAAAAATGCAGTATAAAAGCTAATGAATACTATATATATTATAAAATTTATGATATTTTTGTGAGATAAAAGAGCATTTTATTCTTAAAAATTAAAGTTTACCGATACGAAGTTATTATTTCAGCACACTATGAGTACGTATATGTCTTTAGAAAAATATGGGGATTATTATTTTACACATATTTTATTCAGATATTTTCAATTTACTGAATTGCTCGCGAGTATTTTACATGTGGAAACGTGTAATAGATTACTACCATGTCTCGATTAAAATATTAAATCAAATTCTATGGACGGACGCAAATAGCTGTTCAGACAGAAGCTCAGTGGTATTAAACGGCACACTATCGTGAATTCCGTACATTACGGGGTGCACAAATCAGAATTTCAAGCAGGTTATTGCGCCGATGGCCAGAAGTTGGCGAAAATGTATTATCGTACACGCAAAACCATGCATAGGTCGATGATTGACCTAATAACAAATTAAAATAATCGATTTCAAATTCATGATTACTTATTTAATAATATTTATTTAATAATTTTTTAATAATATCAAAAGAGATAATTAAAAACGCGATTTAATAATTATAATATTAAGATATATTTTCTTTACTCACTGTGACTGAATTTTTTTTTACTTTTTAAATAGATATTATCTATGATTTCCCTTAACATTTTATTTTAAATCTAGTTTATCTATTTTTTTATAATTTTTTTTTTTTTATAAACTTTTTTTTATATAAATATTTTACACGTTAAAATATTAATGCTTATTGATTAACTAATATTGTTTTCAATATTAATTTTATTAATATTGCTCCTGATTGCTCACTCAACTATTATCTCAAATTATAACGTCAGAAAACTCAACAAAAATATTTGCAAAATGTAAATAGATATATTTTTAAATAGATATATTTTTCAATAAAACAACATTTGCATTTGATAGAATAGATTTATAAAATATATCAAAAACTTTTTGTTTTGGAGAGAAATTAAATTATAAGGAAAAGAATGATTTTTCTGAAGCATCTTATATAAAATTTAGCTAGATATAATTTAAATTGAAAAGTAATTTTGTTAAATTATGAAAATAGTTATGTAGGATCTTCAAACAACTCGCTAGAATATCACAATTTTATACAGCATTGTTCATTATTACTTGAATATTCTACATAATTATTTTGATGGTTTAACAACATTATTTTCAAATCTGTATTTACAGCATATATAGCTAATTTTTAAATATTTAGGCATCGAATGGCTTGCCGCTCAGTGCGATTGATTCGCGATGGGATCTGTAAATCCCATCTGCGCTCATATATGCAATTTTCACGTTTAAAGAGCCGAAAATGACTCCCTTTGGTGATTAAAAGATCTTTGATCATTAGCGCTGTTTGGATTTAGCTTAAACTGTGAATCCCATATATCAGATGTATATATATATATATATATATGTATACATACATCTATATACCACGAAACTCAATATAAAAAGAATA